CAGGCGCCGCCCCTGCCTTGGCGAAGGCAGGGGTCGGCGGATTTTTTTGGGATACAGAAGAATTGGGGAGATGAGCTAAGCTTTGTAGTACAAAGATACTTTCTAGAGGCTTTTCCTGTGTAAAGTGTAAATGCATCTGTGTCTCAAGCTTCTGTGTGCTGACAGTAAGAGCTTTCTGGCGCGCAGAACAGCCGAGATGAGTTGAGAACAGCTTCGAGGAGATGAGAAAGGTTGATCAGTGCTCGGATGAGATGAAAACAGTTGAGAAGAACTTTCTTAGATGACATGTGAGAGGAGATGGCATGAGATGAGAAGAGCTGAGATGAGGTGAGAAGAGCTCACATGATTTGAGATGAGATGAAGTGTGGAGTGTGAAGTGCGAGTGTGAAGTGTGGAGTGTGAAGTGCGAAGAGTGCAGTGTGAAGTGTGAGGAAAGTCTTCGCTTGGCGTTGCATTGCGCCGGGGTCGCGCGCAGGTCATGTTCTTGGACAACATGTGTGCAACAGCTTCGCGCAAAGCACGCACGCACGGGCCTGGCTGGCGCTCGGCGCATGCAAGTTCTATAGATGAGACAAGTCTTATAGTATATCCCTAAGGCACTTCCGCCCCACCTCGTGCGGGTACTACCGGTAACACTTTTATGCATATTCATGAAGAGCCATCTACATACACTTTTTATTTTGGGAGATTGGGAGAACTATCCCAGCCGTGACGTGGATGATTTTTTTTCCACAGGTGAAGGCGGGGTACCGCCACAAGGGGACGGACATCTACTGGAAGATTGGGCTGGCCATCGATGATGTCCAGTCCGCCAGTGAACGTTTGGGCTGTGGTCCTGGATCCCAATTTCTGGACATTGGCTTTCTGACACACTTGGCAGATCCTGCTGGTGGCCTGACTTTTTTCAGAGAAATTCAATGGTTCCAAAAACTACCTTCAAGGTTTTTGGATGTTTCTGGTATGTCCTGTGGATTTCTGAATGTCAAGTGGGTAACCCATGGTTTGCGTAGTTGAGTGGCCAATTTTCAACAAATACAAACTATATTATCTCCGGATTACATATGTTTGTGTAGTTTTGTGGCTGTGGTTGTACATATAGAAAAAAAAGAATATTTTTGTAACATTCTATCTACCCTCCGATAACCAACCGTGGCAATGGAACACCCCCTGTTGGAGTATCAGAGGATATCCCAATATCCCATTTTGAACCATTATTGGCCAGTATTAACCCATTGCCAGATTATTCATGCCATTCATTATGGTTATTATTAGCAAGTGTTAAGTAGTGTTAAACCATGTTAAGCCATTACATTACACATCCCAATGTCAGAGGGCTGGATGAATCAGTTGCCCAGGTTTCACCATCGAGCTGCTCCAAACGACCTTCGAAGCCAACGCCGCGGAACGAGCGACGAGGTTAGCTCGGCCTGTTGAGATGCTTAGCAGCAAATGAAAATGGCTGACAATTTTGTAAACACAAAGATCAACAAATGTGCGACATTAGACATGTACTACATGTATTTATATACTGTGTGTATATATATATATAGAACATAGATATATACACACTGTATACATTATACATGTTACATCGTAGTATGCAATACCCTGAGAACCGTGTAATTGTTTGGGCCATTCTGTTCCTGTTGGATGCATCACCTATTTTGAGTATGCCGCCAAGGTTCAGCCATCTTTCAACTTGACATTTCCGGACCCATTGGTGGGTTGGATATAAGTTTTCCCCGAGAAGACCTATCCTCAAAAGTTTCCAACTTTGAACAATTGCATCTAGCTTAACCTGATTGACCCCCAAATTGGAACCATGTTCAGCAGTGATTTCAACAGCCAGGAACAGCGCATCTCTCATGGCACAGGACTTTGTCATCGGACAAATCACCACACGCATCACCGATCCTAAGCCCAGCCTGGAGTTCTACCAGAAGGTCCTGCGGATGAAACTCATGTCAGTTCAGCCAGTGACACCCTACCGATTCACACTTTATTTCCTGGCGTACACGGAGGAGGACCCCCCCAACGCGGATGTGGAGGCGGTGGAGAATCGAGAGTGGCTCTGGCAGCGACCATACACCACTTTGGAATTGCAGCACAGGCTGGAATGGTGAAACAATGGAAGTGGATGGCTAGGGTATCTATATCACTCTGGACCTTTTGCCACTGATTTTTTCCCTCATTGATTGGTCAAGTGGAGCTGAAACCCGGGCTTAAGGGGGCTGTTGATTGTCAGGTGGGATAGTGCTCCGGGTTCCTTGTCCATCCCGCAACTCGGCTTGGTTTCTGTGGTGGTTTTCTGATTGCTTCGGGGAATCTCTGGACCTCAAACCACAAAACAGGGATGCTCAGCCACCAATGTATAAAGATGTAACATAGACCCGGGCAAGCCGGCGGCGGAAGTTTCCCAAACATAAATGACCTATAGTTCAAAGACAACCTGTCCCGACCGTGTCCTTCCCTCGACACTCCACACCTCACACCTCACACTGCACACTGCACACTGCACTCTTCGCACTCCAAACTTCACACTTCACACTCCACACTTCGCACTGCACACTTCACAGTCCACACTTCACACTTCACACTTCACAGTCCACACTTCACACTTCACAGTCCACACTTCTCACTTCGCACTTCAGACTTCACACTTCACACTCCACATTTCACACTTCTCACTTCTCACTGCTTCCTTCACACTCCAAACTTCACACTTCACACTTCTCACTTCGCACTTCACACTCCACACTTCACAGTCCACACTTCACACTTCTCACTTCACACTTCTCACTGCTCACTGCTTCCTTCACACTCCAAACTTCACACTTCTCACTTCGCACTTCACACTCCACACTTCACAGTCCACACTTCACACTTCTCACTTCTCACTGCTTCCTTCCCACTCCACACTTCACACTCCAAACTTCACACTTCACACTTCGCACTTCACACTCCACACTTCACTCACACTTCACACTTCACAGTCCACACTTCACACTTCTCACTGCTTCCTTCACACTCCAAACCTCACACTTCACACTTCACACTTCACACTGCGCTCTTCGCACTCCACACTTCACAGTCCACACTTCACACTTCTCACTTCTCACTTCTCACTGCTTCCTTCACACTCCAAACTTCACACTTCTCACTTTGCACTTCACACTCCACACTTCACAGTCCACACTTCACACTTCTCACTGCTTCCTTCCCACTCCAAACTTCACACTCCGAACTTCACACTTCTCACTTCGCACTTCACACTCCACACTTCACTCACACTTCACACTTCACAGTCCACACTTCACACTTCTCACTGCTTCCTTCACACTCCAAACCTCACACTTCACACTTCACACTTCACACTGCGCTCTTCGCACTCCAAACTTAAACTTCACACTCCACACTTCACACTTCTCACTTCCCACTGCTTCCTTCACACTGCACACTTCACACTGCTCTTCACGCCCCACACTTCACACTGCTCTAAACCTAGGTGCAACAAAAAAACACTAGCGCCAAAATGGAGAAAATCTGCTAACAAATCCATTTCGCAGCCTTCATGCAGCCAGTCCAAGACGATGTACGAGATCCAGCTGCAAAAGACAATAGTATTACGAATGCAGCCACAGCAGGAAGCAACCTTGACGCAGCCATTACAATGCGATCTGCAGAGACTGAGTTGCAAAACGCAATAGAAGTACGCGCAACGGCGTCGGAAATTGTAGCTCCACAACCGGATCTCGACGCCAGAGCAGAAAAAAAGACGATTTTGAAGCACTTTTTAAAAGGATTTTTAGAAGGAAAATCACTAGCGCCAAAATGGAGAAAATCTGCTAACAAATCCATGTCGCAGCCTTCATGCAGCCACTCCAATACGATTTACGAGATCCAGCTGCAAAAGACAATAGTATTACCAATGCAGCCACAGCACGAAGCAACCTTGACGCAGCCATTACAACGCGATCTGCAGAGACTGAGTTGCAAAACACAATAGAACTACGCGCAACGGCGTCGGAAATTGTAGCTCCAAAACCGGATCTCGACGCCAGAGCGAAAAAAAAAACGATTTTGAAGCACTTCTTAAAATGATTTTTAGAAGGAAAATCACTAGCGCCAAAATGGAGAAAATCTGCTGACAAATCTCTGTGGCAGCCTTCATGCAGCCACTCCAATACGATTTACGAAGTCCAGCTGCAAAAGACAATATAGTATTACGAATGCAGCCACAGCACGAAGCAACCTTGACGCAGCCATTACAATGCGATCTGCAGAGACTGAGTTGCAAAACACAATAGAACTACGCGCAACGGCGTCGGAAATTGTAGCTCCAAAACCGGATCTCGACGCCAGAGCGAAAAAAAGACGATTTTGAAGCACTTTTTAAAAGGATTTTTAGAAAAAAAATCGCTAGCGCCAAAATGGAGAAAATCTGCTAACAAATCCATGTCGCAGCCTTCGTGCAGCCACTCCAATACGATTTACGAGATCCAGCTGCAAAAGACAATAGTATTACCAATGCAGCCACAGCACGAAGCAACCTTGACACAGCCATTACAATGCGATCTGCAGAGACAGAGTTGCAAAACACAATAGAACTACGCGCAACGGCGTCGGAAATTGTAGCTCCAAAACCCGACGCCAGAGCGAAAAAAAGACGATTTTGAAGCACTTTTTAAACGGATTTTTAGAAGGAAAATCACTAGCGCCAAAATGGAGAAAATCTGCTGACAAATCACTGTCGCACCCTTCATGCAGCCACTCCAATACGATTTACGAGATCCAGCTGCAAAAGACAATGGTATTACGCATGCAGCCACAGCACGAAGCAACCTTGACGCAGCCATTACAATGCGATCTGCGGAGACTGAGTTGCAAAACACAATAGAACTACGCGCAACGGCGTCGGAAATTGTAGCTCCAAAACCGGATCTCGACGCCAGAGCAGAAAAAGTTGATTTTTGAAGCGTTTTTTATAAAGAATTGAAATAGAAAATGAAAGCAGGCAAAATCTGAAAGAATCCAGCTGCAGCAAGTTCACGCAGCCATTACAATGCGATTAGCAACAATCCCTAGCAAAACACAATGGTATTACGTCCTCAGCTCGTCCACCGAAGCATGTGAAACCTTCTAGACATTGCGGGAACGATCCTACAGTTGCAAAGCACAATGGAATTCCATCGACAACTCCTCCACCAGCACCACTTGCAATGCCATTTGCATTGCGGGAACGATCCTACAGTTGCAAATCACAATGGAATTCCATCTGCAACTCATCCACCAGCACCACTTGCAATTCCATCTACATTGCGGGAACGATCCTACAGTTGCAAATCAAAATGGAATTCTGTCGACCGCACATGCACGAAAAACAGTTGAAACCCCATTTACAATGCGGAACCGATCCGAGCATGATCCGACCATGATCCGAGACCGATCCGACCATGATCCCACCACACACGAGACCGTCTCGCAACCGTCGCACCGCAGAGGTAGATCATCGAGGTTCGGGGACGGACTTTGTATGGAAAAACATAGGGTTTCGTGCATCTGCTATCTCTCAAAAACGCATTTCGTGCGAGACTTCCTTCAAAACTCCATCGGCAACTCCTCCACCAGCACCACTTGCAATCCCATTTACAGTGAGGGAACGATCCTAGAGATGCAAATCACAATGGAATTCCATCGGCAACTCATCCACCAGCAACACTTGCAATCCCATTTACATTGCGGGAACGATCCTACAGTTGCAAATCACAATGGAATTCTGTCGACCGCACATGCACGAAAAACACTTGAAACCCCATTTACAATGCGGAACCGATCCGACCATGATCCGAACATGATCCGAGACCGTTCCGACCACACACGAGACCGTCTCGCACCCGTCGCACCGCAGAGGTAGATCATCGAGGTTCGGGGACGAACTTTGTATGGAAAAACATAGGCTTTCGTGCATCTGCTATCTCTCAAAAACGCATTTCGTGCGAGACTTCCTCCAAAACTCCATCGGCAACTCCTCCACCAGCACCACTTGCAATCCCATTTGCAGTGAGGGAACGATCCTAGAGTTGCAAATCACAACGGAATTCCATCGGCAACTCATCCACCAGCACCACTTGCAATCCCATTTACATTGCGGGAACGATCCTACAGTTGCAAATCACAATGGAATTCTGTCGATCACAAATGCACGAAACACAGGTGACACCCCATTTACAATGCGGAACCGATCCGAGCATGATCCGAGACCGATCCGACCATGATCCGACCACACACGAGACCGTCTCGCAACCGTCGCACCGCAGAGGTAGATCATCGAGGTTTGGGGACGGACTTTGTATGGAAAAACATAGGGTTTCGTGCATCTGCTATCTCTCAAAAACGCATTTCGTGCGAGACTTCCTCCAAAACTCCATCGGCAACTCCTCCACCAGCACCACTTGCAATCCCATTTACAGTGAGGGAACAATTTCTTTGCTAAATCTTTCTGTGACTAACTCTTTCCCTCACTAACTCTTTCTTTGACTAACTCTTTCCCTGGCTAACTGTTTCTTTGACTAACTCTTTCTTTGACTAACTCTTTCCCTGACGAACTCTTTCTTTGCTAACTCTTCCTGTGACTAACTCTTTCCCTCACTAACTCTTTCTTTGACTAACTCTTTCCCTGACTACCTGTTTCTTTGCTAACTCTTTCTTTGACTAACTCTTTCCCTCACTAACTCTTTCTTTGACGAACTCTTTCTTTGACTAACTCTTTCCCTGACGAACTCTTTCTTTGCTAACTCTTTCCCTCACTAACTCTTTCTTTGACTAACTCTTTCCCTCACTAACTCTTTCTTTGACTAACTCTTTCCCTGACGAACTCTTTCTTTGCTAACTTTTTTTTTGACTAACTCTTTCCCTCACTAACTCTTTCTTTGACTAACTCTTTCCCTCACTAACTCTTTCTTTGACTAACTCTTTCCCTCACTAACTCTTTCTTTGACTAACTCTTTCCCTGACTAACTGTTTCTTTGACTGACTCTTTCTTTGACTAACTCTTTCTTTGCGAACTCTTTCTTTGACTACCTCATATATCCTGACTAACTCTTTCTTTGACTACCTCATATATCCTGACTAACTCTTTCTTTGACTAACTCTTTCCCTCACTAACTCTTTCTTTGACTAACTCTTTCCCTCACTAACTCTTTCTTTGACTAACTCTTTCCCTGACTAACTGTTTCTTTGACTAACTCTTTCTTTGACTAACTCTTTCCCTCACTAACTCTTTCTTTGACTAACTCTTTCTTTGACTAACTCTTTCTTTGACTAACTCTTTCCCTCACTAACTCTTTCTTTGACTAACTTTTTCTTTGACTAACTCTTTCTTTGACTAACTCTTTCCCTCACTAACTCTTTCTTTGACTAACTCTTTCCCTGACTAACTGTTTCTTTGCTAACTCTTTCTTTGACTGACTCTTTCCCTCACTAACTCTTTCTTTGACTAACTCTTTCCCTGACTAACTGTTTCACTAACTCTTTCTTTGACTAACTCTTTCCCTGACGAACTCTTTCTTTGCTAACTCTTTCTTTGACTAACTCTTTCCCTGACATTCTAAAAGTCCGTAACACGGAAGTTTCTCCCCCTAAACTTCCTTTGATAAAGTATAAACCCACATGTATCAGAGCTGTATCAGAGCATATCAGACCCTTCCTTATTTGCAGCATTTTTCAGCTGTTGACCATTTTTCCATTTTGTTCCGAACCTTTCCAGGAGCAAGGATGAGGAAGGGCTCCATGGCATCACCATCCAGATACCTTTGGAGCACCTGCAGGCCCTGGAGCGCGAGGCACCGGGCTATGTGGTGCGGGTGCCGGGCCGCAGTGGCAGCTTGCTGGATCCGGATGGTCTGCCGCTGGAGGTGGAAGTGGCGGGCTGCTGAGGGTGCACGGATCACAGATGAAGTTCTGGAACACATCTCAAATCTGTCTTGGTCAACAAAGATTTCGCCTCTACATCGAGGTAAGAGGAAATTGAAGGCTGAAGTCCTGGAGAGGCAGCAAAAGGATTTGGTGAGGCAGGTGAGGCAGCTGAGGCAGTTAGCCTGAAGCATCTGAAACAGACGAAGCGTCCAAAGTGGCGAGGTCAAGATGGCCGTGGAGCTGAAGGCAAAGATGCCAAAGGTCTCCAAAGGTGCCAAAGATGGTAAAGATAGTAAAGATGGCAAAGGCAAACCCAAAGGACCAAGCACAAAAGAGCGCCAAAGTTTCTTCCAGGACGCTAAAGGAGATTACGAACAAGCCAAAACGATCTGTGTTCGAGGTGGACACAAGAAACTCAAGGCTGAACCAGAGCAGTTCTCCACTGGGAGGAATGGTTTCATGGCGAGCAACAAGGCGGTGGTCGATGTTGGTCCAGTACCGCTGACATTGCCGAGCAGCCCAATCTGCCTGTGATTGGCTCCAAGGAATTGAGTGAGTGATAGCTCGGTGACGATGCAGTGACGATGACTCGCTGGAAAACGTGTCTCCCACAGCCTTGAAAACAAAACTGGTTAGAGATGCAGGAGCCGTGGCACCAGGGAGCTGATTTCCAATCCGTGACTTCCTAGAGCAGCTGGTGGGAACTGACCGTTTTGGTGATTTGCTGCGTCCAATTTGTGACGTCGGACGTTTCACTGAGCCGCCTTTTGCGACCCAAAAGGAAAACCCTCAGCAATGGCAGGGAGATGGGTCTTCAAAACGAAGACAAACCTATGTCAGCCTATGTCAATGTGGCCCCAGCTGTCAGGATGCCACGCATGCCCGGGCTGGCCGCCCTGTGACCCTGGCTGGACACTCAGCTCTGTAGCGGACAACAACTGCCTTGCAAAGATTGGTTTCATTTTATTTTGCACCTATTTGTTTCCAACCCAGGAAGATGATCCCAAAGATGTCCCAAGTAGGTTTCCAGGTGGATGAACTCACCTGTTTTGTGACTCACGGAGGTTGATGACCTAACGCGAGGCCGGACCCTTTTTTTGACGGTTCAGGTCTTGAGAGATGCCGATTTCAGACTTCCTTGGGGCTTCATTCTTCCACTTCAAAGTTGGTCCCTGACGTCGGATATGGGTCGGATATCTTGGAGTTGGTTTCTCCATCCCAACCAGGACATCACTTGGCACAGCCGTTGCCCGACGAGAAAATGCGCGCTGCACTGCGTGCGCGCGGCCTGCACTTCGAGGTGTGACATGGATGGGGAATAGTTGGATGAATTCGAAGATGGTCACCATTTATCATCATTTATCTATTTTTTAAAGATTCTTTTTGCAAAGTTCGGATGTTTCTTTTGGCCAAACAGATCGATGTTGATAGGTTTTGGTGGTCACAAAATGGGAGGAAATTGCCTGACCGGGTCCCAAGAGTCACAATATGGCAAAGGCTTTGACTAATTGCACAATTTCTATCAGAGCTGCAAGAATAATCGATTTCATTTGGAGAGTCGGTTTTCTGAAATTCTCCTCCTTTGTAGCCATTTCTTGTGGATTCTCCAGACCCACAAGTGGTTGCTGAAATTTCACATACGACGAACCTGCGAAGCAATTCCGGCATGATCCCGGAGTCAGTCCATGTCATATGACAGTTATGACAGCAGGGCGATTTTTTTTTTATGGCAGTTCATCAATAAGTTCTACCGAAGGTTTGGTAACATCTATACCGTCTATACCACGTTCAATAAGTTAGCAGTTCATACTCCCCATCCAGCTGTACAAGTGACAAGTTCTCAAGTAGTGGGTATAGACTGTATAGATGTTCAATATTTATCAATATTTGGGATATATCAAGATTCTTCCCATCAGGAGGGAACATCATCCCTGAAGGTCTTCGATCCCTTTAGCAGCTCCTGGCCGCAGCTTGCACAGCGTTTGCTGGAGCAGGCGGGGTGCCACCAGACACAGTGGTTTTTCAAAAGACAAGAATTGGAGCATTCTATGGCTAATCAGCATCTGTATTATAAATGCCTATGAATTTACAATTGTTCAGGGGGGTGAACATCCGTTTACCAGCTATTTTGATGTGAACAGAAGGGGCACACAGTTTTGACTCATGGCCACAAAAGAGCAAAATGCAGAATCTATGTTTGGCTTTTTTTGGGTTAATTTTACCTGGCCCTGACCGTCAACATTCTTTTTGCGGTTCACTTTAAGTCCAGGAATGAACAGGTCTGGCTTTGAATCAGTCAAGGTAACAAAGGGGTAAAGCTTGAGAGCCAGGGATGTGGGGTTGTCCAAATACACTGCCAAGCTGGATCAGTAGAGGCTTCTCATGACATGGGCCTCATGGACCCGACCTTGGAATGCCGCAGGCCCGGTCCTGGCCATTGCGGTGAGAGAAAAACCAGCTGGGGGAAGGGCAGCTGGGGGTTGGCGGTTCTCAAATGGAATGGTAATCCCATTCCCCTATACCAATAACCAGGGTTTCCATAGGGTGTGTGTTTGTAGGTTTGGGGAAGGGATTATGGCTAGGTGAATTGGAGGTTCAACCTTCCAACTTGTTCTCATCACTGAGGCTAGCCAACGTGTACTGTTATGGGGATGGAATGATACACCCACTTGACAAGCATGTTTGGCGGGGTAGGGGTTAGTTTGTTGGTGGTTGTGGAATATATTGGAATGCTTACTGTAAACGCGTTTTAAGATATGAGACGTATATGGCGCGTATGGGTCAAAATTGGGTACCAGAAGCCATCGGACAGTGCAGCATCGATTTGAGCGATGGCTGGGTTTCCACTGGCTCAGTGAGCGCGGGCCTTGACCGGTCGCGTCATGTTTTCCTGGCCTTGCTGAAATAGCCAAGCTCCAGGAGGCTTCGGTGCAGTTGGAGAATTGGGATGAGAAAATTTGAGAGATATATAATACAAGTAACGGTGTATAACTTATAACCCTGTTATAGAAACAATTATCGATAATGGGGAGGATCTGAGCGACAAGAGAGGGAATTCTTAATGGGCAGAAGGCAGCCGCCCTAAATTGTTGCGGAGACAGCCAACTAAAGATTCCGACACATACCCAGAAAAAAATGCGCAAACTACTGAAACACATTGAATCCTCCAAAAGAAAACCTTCACTCCTAGACGGGTTTGTCTGAAAATACGCTACCCCTGAATCCATTGGTAAATCATCATGGTCCACATTGAAATTGATCAATTGCCGGAGACTTGGAGATATCAGTATTATACTGACAGTATACCGTAGCGACTGTAGCGACTGTAGCGACTGTAGCCATTTTATCCCATTTTCAGACCCCCAGATGTTCCCAAGCAGCTCTGCAGACCGCGAGCCATGGAGCCCAAAGCGCCAGGGAGGCCCCTGCAGCCTGGAGCCTCAGATCAACCAGCCATAGCCATAACGCACCCATGACTGGGAATGGTTTATACAGTTTATACCCATAAACATGGTGATTTGGGGGATGGTTTATGATTGTTTTACCCACATTAGGTCATTTTCCAGCCCAACAGCCTCTGGGATAACCCGATGAGGGATGGATTTTGAGGCTCATCCGGCTGAATATGGACGAGCGGAAGGTGGAGGTCAACGAAGATGCGCCAGGCCCTGAGGTGTTGGACACGGCCGGGGATGGCCCGTGGCGGGTGCTGAGAGATAGCATGGAGAGACGGCAGACGCGTATTGAAATGGAGCCAGTTTCGTTGGTTGTTTCTTTTTAAATGGGGTGGTATGATGTGGTATGTGTGAAACTTTGAGACGCACCAGCCCAGCTTTTGGTCACTCTTGGTTCTGATCACCCGATCTTTTGGATATTACATACATTACATACATTACATACTATATATCACCCATATTTGGCCCATTTCATTTTCACGATTGAAAATGCAACCACCAGTCACAGGTGTGTTTTTTGCATATGCATCTGCCACCATCGAGGTTGGGTCGCCTTGAGAAACGCCTTAGAGAAATGGGCGCCACATCGGTTGCGCGTCCAAAAAGAGGGAGGGTCAGAAGCATTTTGGCCCTTATGTTTGGTCACTTTGCGATTTGGAGGACATCAGTTTATTCTTTTTTGGTAAGGGAGGAGAGCCTTGCCTCACTTTGAAATCTCATGAACATGTGACCTCAGCCTAAAGGATGCATGGAGGAAATCATCCCCAGCGGCTGTCGGCTGAGGTTGCAGTTGTCTCGGTGATGGGGGCTTTCAGAACTGGAAAGTCTGATTCTCGATACACTTTGATACATGGGTCCAGCAGATGCAGTGGTGAGCGCTCGGTGAAAGCAGATCAAGTCATGGTGAAACACCAAGAGTCAGGTCTGTTGAAGTGAACCAAGATACCAACATCCAAGAGCTTCCAAGGGTTTTCCCATTGGTTTTCCATGGGTGTTCTCAGGTCTTTCCTTCTGGACTTGTTCCTTCGATTCCTGAGATGGGAGGCGGATCATCCTGAAGAGGCCAAAGAGGCCGCCAAGGCGCGGCCACTGCTCTCTTCGATTTTCAGTGCAAATGATGTGATGCTGTAGTCTAAGTAGTAGCTATAGTTTTTTTCCCAGATGATTTCTTTCCCAGATGATAGGATTTCCAGATGATAGGATTCATACTATAGTTACTATTGAAAAAACCAATGGTTATTTTAATACTCCAATATTAAATGTTTTTTAACCTGGAGAAAGCGATGAAACTTCAGAATTCCACTGAGGCAGAGCCCCCTCCCCGTGGTGGTGAAGACAATTTTCCACTGCCCACCTGGGTGACGTCCTTGGGAAGATGAGATGGGTCACAATGAAATCTATTGAACATCTAACTGATCATCTCACATCTTAGAAACATGTCCAACAGAAATATGATGAAGTCTGGATAGAATCGAGGAAACTCACGGAACATGTCCAACGGAGCTGAACCGAACAGAGGGGGTAGAGGTCACCAAATTGTTTCGTGGAATACAAAAGTAATGGCTCAAAACAATAGCAAGCCAGGGAACCAAAAGATGTTGAGTCTTTTTTTAGTACTGAACCTTCCTTAACCCAAATGTTTAGGAAACACGTTCCGAGTTCATTCACACTGGAAGATAGGCCCAGTGTCATAGCGAATAGTTTTGCAGGCGATTCTGGATCACAGGGCCATTGTCAAGATCATGAGTTGTTGATGAAATTTCCTCAGCCGTTGACAGTGATTTCCCATGGCACCCCATGGGCACCCATGGCACCCCTGCATTGGTCGCCTGAGATCACCTCAGCGGGTGCTGCACTAGAGGGAGCCACCGATGATTCGGAGGTGCCCCTTATGGAAATGCCGAACGGGGAGATATGGGGAGATGAACATCCATAAATCCCGGCTGTTTTGGTGAGAAGACCCGGGTAGGGTTTGAAGATCCATAATTCACCTCTTGCAGTTTGAAATTCCAGGCATCTCTGGATGGCTGGAGATCTAGCCCGTCCGGGTTCAATCTCCCGCTGCAATGCCAGGGATTTCGATTCAAGGGTGGCATGGACGCTTGCACCGAGGGCATCTGGATTTGGCCGGAAGCGCTCAGCAGTTGCAGTTTGTCTCTGTTGCTGGAAACATCTCAAGTTTTTGAAGCTTGGTGTAGGTTGAGTGCAAAGACCCATGGCCACCCAAGGGTCTGGAGTGATTTACCCTCCGGTAACCTTAACATGGTTTGACGGAAAATGCCCTATTGAGTTACATGATCACGAAAGCTAGCGGCAACTAGCTGTGGCAGGCCCGAGTCCAACACAGTGAATGAATCGAACCCCCCCAAGCTCCCGGGGCATTTTGGGTTGGTGTTGGAAGCAGATGGTCACGGGCTCAAATCCTGCCAGGTCTCTAGGCAATCTGTATTCAGAATGTCCACATCCCATCAAAATCCCATCAAAGCCCCATCAAAATCCCATCATGTTTCCAGGCTCATGTGAACCTTATTGAACCTTAGCTTTCGTTCACCCCCCTTGGGCCCTTGGGCCTCAAGTTTTCCCAGGGGATTTTCGCCCTGAGAAATCAGCTGGCTGCAGGTCCGAACCCTTCATGCGTCAGCTGGATGGACGAGAAGTGGCGGTTTTGCTCATGGACACCCAGGCGCAAACCGTGACACGTTGCAGCCATGGGGATGGTGCTGTGTGGATGGGAATTACAGCCCTTAGAAGATCCCTTAGAATGGTTTAAGTCTTTCTAATTACTTAAAAGTGGATGAGTGACCCCACGTCTTGGGTGAACACGGTGAAACTGCAAGGCATGTTTTCTTCGAACAGGAGTATCAGTGTCGAGTCAATGAAGCCCAGACAGACCATCACCCAAATCATTCTGCAGATGAACATGTATGCATACTATATATATAGAGTATGATTATATAGTGTATATGTATACGCATATGATATGCACATATGTATATATATATATGAGACGGTGGGAGATTGACATCGGCATTGCCTGGAGAGACTTCCTGCATCCCAATGAGGAAATCCAAATCCATTTGATTGCGCCAGATCCATACAGGGGGTACATGACGAGACCCACACATGCAGACCTTGTTATTTCCCAGGGGCATTGGTTGCCCAGGTATTCAAGTGTCATCACGGTTCACAAGTCCAGTCGGACACATGCACCGCATTCGTTTGCCTTAGCTAGTTCCCTTGAGCGCCGTGTCGGTGGAGTCAAACTTGCCACTGAGGCAGATGTTTTGCATTGGTGTAATCATCCAGGTAGCCGTTGCACCATCACACATGCCTGGAATGAAATACCTTTTACTCTGCAGCCGACACATGAGGTTTTTGCTGGGCAGTCTTTTGTCATTCAGATTGTTGACGCCAATCCAACAATTATGAATTCTGGAAGCCAGCGTGGAATTACTGCCGATGAACCGCAAACCACTGGTGCTCATGATGATGAAGGTGATTTTGACATGCCTGACACAGACCAATATGCCTTGAGAGATGATCGAGATCCTGCCGACCCATCGCCCTCTGGTAGTAGCATTCACACCTTTGATCTCAGCCTGCTCATTTACCGTTTGGAGGCCCCGGATGCACATGGTTTTTCCCAAGGTGATAACTATGCAGCCATCCTGAATGCAGCCATTCGAGCATGCAGGCTGCCACGCAGCAATGTGCGTTGTTTTCACCAGCTAGCGGTCTGTCCTGTAGGGGTTGATGCTGATCATGAAACAGCTATCATCTTGCAGACGGTTCCTGACGTTGCAGCTGGCTCTGCAGAGAAGCTTGTTCTGGTTGACACCGAGATTCACTTCCATCCTTTGCGTGATGGACTTGTTGTTCCAGCTGCCCATAGTAGGAAGGTCATGAGGGTTAACCCACATATGCATCGCAACCAATTGCTTTTGCTCACTGGCCTGTTCGACTATTGCCAGCTTCAATCGGATCGATGCGCAGTTTTCTGCAACCATGTGATTTGGGCAGCCCAGGATCGAAGAGTCCTTGACACTGCTCATGGACAGTGTTTTCGCATTGTGATCCCTCCACCGCAAGAGGAGTTTCTGGACACTGAAGTAGCAATCGGTATAGCTAGAGATCTTGCAAGTGAACATGATGCCTTTAGCCCATTGACTACTGCTTGCACAACAGGACTGTCACTTCGCCAGACAGCTGCCAGATCCTGCGTTGCCAGCGCCCCACGGACCTGCAAAACAGATCCTGATAGTGACTCGACCTGGCACACATCGCAAGCACCACTGAGAAGAAGTGATTTTGCCAACCGTGAAAATCACCTCACACGTGGCAACTTTGCACCTGGAGCACGTCGCCATCTTGAAGCAGCACTTGAAAGAGCTGATCTTGTTGAATGTGAGGAGGAAGGGCGAGTCATCTACCTCCACACCTGGTTCATTCATCACAGAACATTGCCTAGATGCTACGATGGCCGAGCATTGCGACTCACAGGAAACTCCATGCATTGGTTTGATGAAATTGCAGAGACATGGGCTGATGTCATTCATCCAGCAGAACTTATTTCCATTCGGATTGTGCAACCGCAGCCCCCCTGCAGCCGCTTTGAATGTGTGCAAGCACATCTTCTGATTGAGCAAGCAGCCAGCCCTCACTTGGTTAGCGGCCTAGTCAGCTTTGTTGATTCAAGGGGTGGTGAACACTGGACCCACAGAGCACTTTCGCTGCATCACCTCCAAACCAAACGGAGTCTGCTTGAAGCTGCTGAACTTTCACAGTTTTGTTCAGTCCTTAGGTGCTCCCTGACTCACAATGACATTCCTCTTGGCCTTTTCGAGATTGATGAGATTGGTCCTGCATGGAATTTTGTTGTACGGGCTTTACCAAATTTCATTGAACTCAACAACGACCCTGGTGATTTCAGCAGTATGATGCAGACACCAACTTTTCGTCCTACCGAAGTTGTTGCCCCACCTGACGCACCTGGAGACATTGGAACATGCGTTGCACTGGAACGGCCTTCTCCGCTGAACCCCAATGCTCCGGTGTTTGTGCACACCCAATCTGACATCACGCAGCAACCCGCTGATATTCAATCCATCTATGAAGTGTGGAGGTTTGGTGCAAGTTCTTGGGAGCAAGAAACCCCGGCAGCACACTTCATCGTATGGTTTCTCTGTCCTCCAAATGACCAGCGGCGTTGTCTGCATGGCAGAAGAGTTACTTTGTATGACAACTACCACCAATGGAGAGAGCGACTCATTTTCGCCTGGCGTGACCTGATCACACCGCACATGCCCACTGGTATTCATCTTGTGCAGCCTCAGCCGCAAGTTCTTGAACCAGACATCACGGCGCATATCATCCTCACACAGTTGATGCCTGACCATGAATCTGGTGTCTTGATCACCATTGCTGATGATGCGGTCAATGATGCGCACCCTTTCAACCTTGCAGTTACCCTCAGTGACCCTTCACAGCAATCACAAGTTTTGGCCACAACAGGTTATGCCACGGAAGGAGGTATCTTCACGCTCCAGCGGGAAGGAGAAACCATTGCCCCTGACCAGCCCTTCCCCACGAGACATGGTTATGGACTCAACATGAGGGTTGTCAGACCTTTCCTACAACCTGGATGGAACCCCCCACTACTCCCTGCAGTACCTGGCGCAGAAGGCCTGGGACTACTGCAAACCAAGTTTGCACTCTTGAAGTCTGTTACTTGCGAGCGCCTAACACATGGGCAGGTGGCTCACACCCATGGGCCGCAAGATTTCAGTAGCTTCGAGTCACTTGAACATGAGGAGGCATCCACTCCCAGGTGATATCACTTGCCGACAGTGTCACTAAGATTGTCAGCATCGTGAAGGGCTCTGATGCGCTTGACCTTCCATCATTTGTTGAGGTACCCCTCTTGGCCACAGAATCTGACATTGAAACTGAAATCGCCAGGTTTGGTTTTCATTGCTCTGCGTATGCCTTTGGACAGCATGACAAAGTTTTTTGTGTGCCACTTGGCTGGCCTGCCTTGCAGACACAATACCATGTCCTCTTTGCCAATGAGGACACTAGTGATGCTTTTGGCTGTTTCGCCCACAGCTTTGCATCTGATTGGACTGAAATCA